AGGCAAAACCCCAAAACCCCAAAACCCCTTGGAGCTAAGAATAATGAAATCAAGATAAGTGAAATTCATAAATTATTCATAGTTGGAATAGCTCTTTGAGTATGAATACCTGAGATCTAATTGTATAAAGTTGTTCTATTCTGTATTTTTTTAATATCTTTAATAAGCTTTTGCCTTTTTTATTTCTCTATCATTTCAATTCTATTAGGTATCTGTATACTCTAGCTGTTTAGGGATTTCTTAATCTCTGAGTTAATGTAAGATTCACTAAGCATCGCACTATTTTCTTTATTAATAGAATCTCTACTAGAACTCATAATGCCAGATTAATGCTTTATTGTCCCTATGACCTTATTAATATTTTTAACTTATGAAGTATTCAAATAAGGAATAAGTGATCTCGTTTGGCTTTAGTGAAACTTCTCGAGTGACTTAATCTTTTTAAGCGTTTTTATTTGTTTAACTTGACTTTTTCTTGAAAATGTATCATTGCCTATTAATTAATTATCTACTTGTGATTACGATTCATTTTCGAATCTATTACTTTCCTTATCTTTTAAATCAAGCTCGCTCTATTATTAATCTGTATATTCTACTTTTTGCTGATCTTAATCATTTTATGAGTTCTTAAAGCCAAAATTAGAATATGATCTTTACAGCTTTATCTTCTTCAATCTGTAAAATTTTTTGGGATGTTCAGCAGATGATTGGCTTCTACTTGAATTAAATCCACTCTAATTAAACCCTGCAGAAGACAACTCTGATCTTTACATTAGGCTTTTATTATTTTATATTCTTGTTAAGAGATTAATCCTTTTCTTCTCCATAGTTGTGAAAGTTTCACTCATAAGCTTTGATTCAATGTGATCAAATTTTTAAGATGATTTTACTTTACTCTCAGCTAATCTCTCCTCATAACTGATCAAATTCTGCACTGGGTAGTAATCTAAATCAATTTCTTCTTATCTTTGATTTTCTTCTCCTAACTTTTCGGGGTTGATAAATGACTCAATATTTATTGTATTCGACTCTTCAAACATCTCAATCCAAGTTTATGGAAGTGGGTCACAATTATAGTATTCATCCAAGGGCACATAAACTCCGAGTTAGTTCTGTAATTGTAACTTTTCACTCCTTGATTCATAATCTTTTTTCAATCCTACTACAATACTTACTGAGCAGCTAGACATTTTCTTACTGAATAGTTGAACATTAAAGTATTCTCTCTTTGTGTCATGATATTCAAAGTCATAAATACTTTACTTTTCTATTAGCTGATCTTTAAAATGGAAATTTCTAAAGGCATGAATCTAGCCAACTAAAAGGGGTTCCTATTTTGAAAATGAGGGTCCATCTGTAACCCTTATTTCTATCTCACCATCCATCAAGAATTTTTATATGTTTTCACTAGGTAAAGAGAAAAAGTAATGAAGTCTAACAAAGTTAAGCTAATTCTAGTTCTGATTAAGCATCTAATTATGATCTTTTGATAGCCATTTCATCTTGGTAATCTTGTCAAATAGTCTAACTTGCACATAGATATCGGTAGTTGAGTTCTTGAGAAATTAATTCATATCTATATTCACAAAGTTTCTTAGATATATCAAGACCCTCCATTAAATTGGTTTATAGGGAAGATCTTCCACCATTAATCCTTTTCTTGCTTGAAAAGTATTGCTTGATTCTTTTAGTTTGGCGTCTAATGGGTATTAAATCTTAGCTTAAGGAATATTAAAGGCAACTGCAAATTACTCCTCTATATTAATCAACTCTAGCTCAGCAACTATTAGCATATAACATAGATCACAAATGAGAGAAGTAGCTTCTGTACTAGCTATTGGATTTGTTGGAATCTGTTGTTCAAATGTAAAAACTCCTCTTTTCCTCAGGTGACTTGTAAACTAATACAGGATTGTATCTGTTATTACTCTTCTAAGTTGATCTCACCTGAATTTGATTTTACAAAGTTTGCATAAGGTTGCTGTAGTTGCCTTCTCTATCAATTATTCTTTTTTCATCTGCAGATACATATACTTTGCTTCCTTGCTTTTTCTAATCAGATTTTTTATAAAGTTCTCTTTTATTTTGTCCGAAGTATTTTAAGTTTCTTAGACCTTTTAAAGGGTTTTGAAGGCTCTGCATCCAATCAGCCACTCATTACCCTAAATATCTCAAACGAAATCTAAAACTATCTCTTTTAAGGTGATACCATAGTGTTTTTGAATGAAAGTCACCAATTACTCTGCAGTTTTATCAAATTAAAAGGAGTTCATATTTAAAATCTTATATATCTGAGTTGAGGTAGGATAATTTTCTAAATTCAAAGTGGCAGACAACTTATCATTAGCTAGATCTATCATTTATTAATTAGCAAGCAGATACACATAACTCTATTTGTTGGAAGTGTTATATGAAGAATTGTAATAATGGTAACGGTAGACGCTGGCTCTCAATCCGCTTGGTATAATATATTGCTATCCTACATTCTCATAGGTCAAGCACTATGACAGCACTTTTTATTCCTCGTCATTTCTTACAACTTACTAAAAATCAATTAGCTTTAGGATAATTTACAGTTTAGTTAAGCTGGTAGGTTTCAACTTTCTTATGGAGCATTATAGGAATATTATCTTCAAAGACAATATTCTTGAAACCTTTTTCTACAATTTATTCTATTTAGAGATTGTATTTTTTCTGAAGTTTGTATAAAAAGTCAGTCTCCTTAACTTGATCATCTAACTTTACTTAAATTAATCCTTAGCTATCTAAAATATTACTTGCTTAAATATTAATAGAACTTACTTGTATAGATAAGAAATTTTTCATGAAACAGACCGATAGTCATTGGAAAATTGATATTTAATTTGAAAGGTTTTTCTCTTTTTGAATTTGCAATGAATATTTTAAGGAAATTGAGGCCTGGCTTGATATCACATTTGTGATAGTCCTAGTAGAATTTGTCCTCTGCATATGATGAAACGTATTATACATCTTTGAGCAACTTCTCCTATCTTATTTGAGTATAAGACTATTTCTTTTCACTATTAAAGTATTGTAGTTCATTTTCACTATTGTTTTTAGTCATTTTTTTGTGATTAATTTTCTTTCTGGGACTATCATTAGATAATGAAACAGATGAGTTAGATTCATATTGATCTATTATCTAAGAGATTTTCTGTGGATTCATTTATCTCTCAGTGTGTATGTTTACTGAAGTCATAAATGTATTGTTGATTAGATTATTGATGCTACTGTTGCCTTTTCTAAGCAACAAGGTCTTTTAACTGGTTCTATTTGAATTTTTAATGAAGCCTTTTATTTAACTTTGTGGTAGCGATATAGTAACCTCTTCATTTTTCTCGACTTCTGCTTAGAATTAGGACATTTTAATTAAATTTCAAAATTAAAAATTACAACATTTTGGCTGGATAGCTGAATAAAGTATTTCTGGGGTTTTGGGGTTTTGGGGAACTGCTTGATTTCTAATAATCAAAAGTTGGAGAGGCTATGTTTACTTCATTGTC